TTTCTCATCACTTCTCATACCTGTATGTTCCTTACATAATTTTGGTGGTTCTAAGTCTTATCGTTTGTGAACAGAAGTTTTGATGAGCCATCTTGGGGTACCTTGGACAATAATGATGATGTAGATTCAGTGTGGGGTTTCAACCCTAGTAATCCCAAGGTAAGTTTGGCTCTTTTAGATGCACATTTTTGTCCCTCATTATACTTGAGAAACTTGGTAATCAGCAAGTGAAATATTTGGCTCATTTTGGCTGGTCTGTAAAACACTTAATAGGGAAGTCCCGTGACACTTGTATCGAAGGCATTTGGCGATGTATCTATTAGAAAACACATGTCATAATGGGGTAAACGAAGGTTGCCTTGTTCTAAATGGTGGAAGGTTATAGAAGATAAGGATTCCTATGTTTTAAGACCCGGGGTAGATTAGTCTGAATATGTGATATAATTTTGGAAGTGTAGTCTCAATGGTATAATTTTTGGAGTCGTTGTCTATTGTCTCTCTATGACTTGCCAATTTGGCAACGCAGAGAAGGTGGTGATCTTTCTATCCAAAGACCAATAACATGTTCTCTTTGTTAACCATCAGACCTAGTGGTGGAGGGAGTATGGGCCCAAGAGGGCCACATGCCCTTCCTTAACTTAAAATAGAAAAAAAAAAAAAAAAAAAAGAAGAAAGAAGCAGCATATGGAAATTATGAGCTTGAGAGAGAGAGAGGTGCAATACTTACAAATTGACAAATTTTACGTTTTATCAATTTGTATATATACATATGGAAATTATTAACACATTATACTAACATATTGTAGGTGTCAGATGCATCTAGTGGGCAATAAGCTTCAAAAGAAAATGAATAGGTATGCATTTCTCTGTGTTTAATGAATTTTTCAGCTTATTATGAATTAGGGTGCCTATTTCTCTGAGAGTCGTTGTTATGGAATTAGCATTTTAAATCAATTCTCTTTGGGTGTATGTATGGCCTCAACATTGTTCAGTAGTTTTTTGTGGTGGCAATTGTGGTATGTATGGCCGTAACTTCCCTCTGCATTGGTGGTGTTCAGGTTCGATCTTTCATTGTCTCGCAAAGAGATTCATTATGGTGCTCATGCCACATCAAAGCAGGTAATGCAACCCTGCTGTGCAACTGTCACATATGAATATCTCTTTGAAATACTTCTCTTTTCCCTTATATTTCTGCTTGTATTTATGATATTTGCTGTGTATGAAGTTCTTGAAGGATATCACTATATTTCCCCATGTATTATGTCGTATTAGGTCTAAAATTTATCCCTAGAGCATATCATATGGACCAGTCTGGTACCGCAAATGGGTTTTCTTCAGACTCTATAATCCGATTCAATTGCAAATGGGTTTTCTTCAGGGACATCATCTTCTCCTCCTTGTCCTTGTACATTCCATTCTCTTCCTCTCTTATCAAGTCCAATCTCTAGGTAATCTCTCTCTCTCTCTCTCTCTCTATTATATGCATGTGTGTGTACTGTTTGTTCAATCTGGATCCCTTATATTGTTCAATTATCAGTGAATTCGTATCTATTTTGAGAATGGGTCTTTTTCTTGGGATAGAAATAGATATGGCAAGATCTGAACAAAGTGATATGTATAAAGCGTATGCATGATTATATATTGATTTATCTAGTATGATTTTCTTCTGGGTTTTAATTTGCATACTATGTTGCTTTGATCTTGGATCCAATCACATTTGGCAATATTTTTGAAGTCAATGAACCATGGATTGAGAAAAGCAGCGGAAAAATTGCAAATGGGTTTTCTTCAGGGACATCATCTTCTTCTCCTTGTCCTTGTACATTCCATTCTCTTCCTCTCTTATCAGGTCCAATCTCTAGGTAATCTCTCTCTCTCTGTCTCTGTCTCTCTCTCTATTATATGTATGTGTGTGTACTGTTTGTTCAATCTGGATCCCTTATATTGTTCAATTATCAGTGAATTTGTATCTATTTTGAGAATGGGTCTTTTTCTTGGGATAGAAATAGATATGGCAAGATCTGAACAAAGTGATATGTATAAAGCGTATGCATGATTATATATTGATTTATCTAGTATGATTTTCTTCTGGGTTTTAATTTGCATACTATGTTGCTTTGATCTTGGATCCAATCACACTTGGCAATATTTTTGAAGTCAATGAAGCATGGATTTGCAAATATGTGTTTATGGAAACCTTTATAAGGGATTACTTCCTAGATCCAGCCCAAACCCTTTATATTTTTAGTAAGGTTAGATTACTTCCTAGATTCAACCTCTACCCGTCAATCTCGGACTAGGAAGATCACAATCTTCGTGTTGTGTTATTTTATTATGTTCGAATTAACTTTAGCTCATTTGTTATTGTTATATCAATTTTTGTCGGTATTCAGTTTCATGTAGTGTTAACATTTGCAGTGTTATTGCTATGGATTGATTGTTCTAACCATAAATTGATGCCACTATTTCTCATTTCAGGAGGAAAGACAATTTTTTTTTTTTAAGTGGCTTTCAGAATGAGGGAATACTGGATACAATGCATGTTTTACTCATTTATCTCCAGAGCTCTTTGCCTAAGCAAAGACCCTTGGTTGCTGTTCTCCTTTTACACTTAGATCTTCTGGTATGCTCCTCGAGTAAAAATTCTTTTGCTGATAGTGAACAGAAGTATTAATTAAACTATGATTCTAGTGTCTCCTGTTTGCCTATACTAATTGCTGCAATATCTTGACATTTGAAAACATTGACTTGCTGAATACCAGTTGAATTCATACTTTGTTTAATATGTTTATTATGCTACTCTGCACATTGGCCTAAACCAATCAAACAATTTCTAAATTATGTTTATTATGACAGCAATGAACTGTTTCTGAATTATGTCCCAGATTAGATGTTGATGGCACCAGAAAATGACTTTTAGGAAGTAAGACAATCATTTTTAGGCATCCTTATAGTCATTCAGTTAGTCATGAGTTAGTGCTGATGGAGACATGGGATAGCATCTATGCCTAGTTCAAGTTAGACTTCCTCAACGGAGTGCTTAATTGAGGCATGTTTCTTTAAAAGGGAACATCTATGAAGCAGCAACTACATTGTTATTAGAAAGGGGGATTCTGGGATAATAAAGCTGAAAACCAACTACATTGTTCCATAGATGAAGAGAACAAAACAGTCCATTTGAGAGCACTGGAGGGAACAGATTGCTTGGAGTTCTATAAGAGTTATACCCTCATCTTTCAGATCATTCCCAAGGGAGAGACCAAAGTGGTGAAAATTACAATAGAGTATGAGAAACGAAATAAGGATGTCCTTGATCCACAGAAATATCTGAACTACTTGATTAATCTCTTTAAAGATGTTGATTCTAAGCTCTAGTGTTGATGCTTCCTAGTTTCATGCTTATGACATTACGAAAAATTAAGGTTTTAGAGACTAAAATTTAAGGACAAAGTGTGGTTTGTCTGGATCTAACATTTAGAGATTAAAGAAAATAACACCACTGCTTTCTCATTCTCAAACATGGCTAAGTGTGGATTGTCTTGTACTTGATTTGGTTTTGACCATGTGCCTGTAGAACTATATTAAAACCATGGCAGGTTTTGCACTGCATATCTCGTTGTTAAATTTGCAATAAGAAATATATAACCTCCTGCTGTTTGAAATCTGAATTGTGACATGTTACCTTTTTTCAATCTAATTGCACTATACCCATAGGAGTGATTAAAATTGATAATTTTTATTTTGACAGTGTATAATTTTTATCATTAATGCCTAAAATTTTTGTTGCATAGGTGCAATGCGGTGATGTGGGACTTGAAAAGAAAATTGATGAGAAGATTGGCCAGTTCATCGATAGAGTGGAGAAACACCTAAGCAAGAAAATTGATGAAAAGATTTGCCAGTTCAGGATTGTATTTTTTTCATAAAAGGACTTTTCTCAAGTTTTTAGTTGTAATAACTTTCATACATGGCTCAAATTTTGATACTCAAATGGAATGTTCAATTAAACTATAATGCTATACTGTATGAATTCTCATCATTGCTATTCCTAGAGTGCTTAACACTACATTTTTTTTTTTTTGCGACGGTAACAAGATGGTCGCCAAAAATCATGTTAATGTTTTTCTTTGTTTTTTGCGATGGCAAAATAGCGGTCGCCATAAGTGGTTTAAGCGGTCACAAATAATTTGCGACCGTTGCTTTGCCGTCGTAAAAAGTATTTGTCACCCCTACATTCACGACCCCCATTTGCCGTCGCATGGGCCATCGCAAAAAGTCTTTTGCGATTGTTTTTTATTATTTGCGACGGTTTATGGCGGTCGCAAAAAGTGTTTTTTTTAGTAATGACTGCTACTACCATTACCTCTCTTCCACCACCGCTACTCCATCTCCTCTACCACTACCACAACTTCACCACTAATCTCTTTCGCCATTACCACCACCATCGCCATCACCTCTTATCCACTACCTTCACCACTACTACCGCTCCCTCTCCTCTACCACAAAAAATTAGTTTTGATTTTTAGCAACCAAAAAAAATGGGCCGCAGAAAAATATTTTTCATTGACCACAAAAAATTAACTTTATTTTAACGGAAAATATTTTTCATTAAAATATTATCCCTACTTCTACCAAATAAAAAAAAATGAAACAAACAAATTTTCAACTTTAGTAACTAAAAATAAAATAAAATAAACAATATATATATTTTAATAGAAAATAAAATTTTTTGGCAACGACAATCCCCCGTTGCAAAAAAAAAAGTTAAACGGTGCCATTTTATTATTTAAATATTTTTTTCCCTTCACGCTCGTTTTTCCCCCCTTTAACCAAAAATCCCCAATCTCTTGAACCAAAATCCCCTTCAACCAAAAATCCCTAATCTCTCTCTCTCACTCTCTCGATTGTGAGCGGCGGCAGATGACGGTGAGCGGCGAGCACCAAACGACGGCATCGACCAGCGTGCGACGGTAGCGAGCAGCAAACGACGATGGTGAGTGAGCGAGGCATCGACCAGCGTGCGACGGTAGCGAGCAGCAAACGACGATGGTGAGTGAGCGACGACGGTGCGAGCAGCAAACGATGGTGGCGAGTGAGCGACGACGGTAATGGTTCTATGTTTTGCTGCTATTTTTTTTTCTTCTTTTTCTCTATTATTCGGCATCTTTTTGTTTCCATTTCTGTTCCAAGTTGGGGTTTCCACTTGTTGATTTGAATTGGGTCTCAAGCTCTATGTATTTTGTGTTTTTTGCAATATTGTGATTTTGGAATATTTGATTTAATTTTTAATTTTTTTAAAAACTTTTTTATACTAGCTTGTGATCTATTTGGGTTGTGCCCTTGATTTGGAGTTTGAAGTGTTTTGATGCTCTGTTGCTAAGATGCAACCTGATCAAAGAAAAAAGGTAATTTTTTTAATTTCCAACATGCATATACATATATAGCCATTCATATGTATCTATCTCTGTTTATCAGAGCTGGTATTTGTGGATAAAGCAAGATCTAATTAGTTATTAAGGACAAGGACCCACAAAATGTGTCTTATTTGTTAGTTTCTGATTGCTCTCTCTGTATCACTCATTATATGTATGTATGTATGTATGTATGTATGTATGTATGTATGTATGTTCATACATTTTTTTATCTTTCCTAGTGGATATTTTGTTGTTATTTGCTGGAGGAATACTTGTTTTTTTGTGTGGATGGGATCAAATGGTTTGGCCTATTCATGCCTTGGATTCTATGGTGCATACTTTTTCTTCTTCTTTTATTTATTTATTTTGGGAATATGGGTAGAACTGTTTGATGCACCTTCTGAGTTTATAGTTTATGATCCAAAAATTGCTTAAATAACCTAATTAGTGGGAAGTTGGGGAGAGATGCATATTTGCATATCTATGCAACTTTTCACATTGTGGGCTATCAAGGATGCTCTATGAACTGAAGCTTTTATCCTGTCAATTTTGAGAAATTGATTGTTCCCAATTAGCCTTGAGTTATTGATTTCCACCACCGATTCTACGATGTTCTTCCGAAATTACTTCCTTAAATGGCAACTCCTAGTAATGTAGTAAATGCATGTACCTTTTGCTAGCTAGAGACTGACATTGATGCCCTTGTACTAATTTTCAGGACATTTTACATTGATTTGGCCCTAAATTTCGTCTATTTTTATTTTATTTTCTAAATAGAAAATTATGATACTGATATATTTTTTACTTAATACCAAGGTATTAATGTCTGTTGTTTGAGTTATTGTAGCTAATTTGGAATAGTAAAGCAAGTAAACCAAATAGTTTCACCATGAATTTGTCTGTCAAAGTTGGAAAGTTATCTTACATATCATATGAGTTGCATTGCTAGTACGAAAGTTCATATATGTCCCTGAATGTAATGACATGGAAAAATTGGATTTTTAAAGCCAAAAGGGAAATCAAACATATCTTGTTGCCTCCTTCCAGAAGGGAATTCAAACATATCTTGTTCTATCATGAATCTAATTGATCATTTAACATAGCAAGCTGAGTATGTCATTGTACCTGAAACTGTACTTTTGACTTGTGAATGTCTCTTATAATAACTTTCTATTGACGCAAATAGAAGTGGAGGTTTTAAATTTTTTCCGTGCTACATGATTTCTTTCCTTTAGCTTCATTAAAATGTTTTTAAGCATGATTTTTGTTTGGTGACTTTGATGAATCATAATTTATCTTTTTTTTATCTTTGACCATGTGATATGGAAAAATGGAATAGTACTATAACTGAGTTTTAACCATGAAACTAGAAAGCCTTTCTAAACTAAACTGTGAAAATTCCCAATAACAAACAAATATTATTTTATCCTTCAAGCAGGTATTTTTTCTGGTTAACATATACGTGATAGAAACAGATGGATGTTAATTTTGAGGACTTTTCACATTATATATATATATATATATATATTTAACTGTTGCTGGTGAATGTGTGTTGATTTTTATGTTTGATTCGAAATATTGCAGCCAAGTAATAAGTTTGTTGAATCCACTCCCTCTAGCAAGGAAGCATTTGATCACAACAAGAAATGTTGAGGTAATTCTTCCACTCCTTGCAAGTAATGTGTCAATTGAAATTGTATCGAATTGCACTATGAGTAATACCATGAAGTTTCAAGAAAAAATACCAATGTAATTTTGTAGGTTAAACATACCATACAAAGTCATTATTTAGGGATACAACTGATAAAACATTTTGTAAACATAAATTTCAGAACATAAACCTTACACTTTGGATCATTTACCATATGTATTATCAAGAAATCAAGACAAAATGACATACCTGAATCCATTGATTATCAATGAACTTTTTGTTATTGATTATGTTATTGCCTTCTAATCCTTTCCCCTTTGGTGCCTTATGTTTCTCCTTGAGAGAATTTAGAAAAACAAACAGTGTTCTTATTTTCTCACTTGGGAAGAAATAGGGACCATAACCTTTTAAAGGTTGTAATTGGTTTTCAAAACTGAAAGGTTGTAATTGTAAACATAAATTTCAGAACTTATACAACTAGTATCTACACATTAGGTCCATAACACATATACCCTTAAGCCTATTAACTAAATTGAATCACTTAAATTGTAGGCTTCTTATAAATGATAACACCACATTTAATTATGTGGTCCCATTGAGACATTATCTAACACATTTTACTATTAAATTAATTGAGAATAGAATTTATTTTGCATATTTGTTATTCAAGCTTATAGTGCTTGAACTGTAGAGGATTATTAACTTCTGAAGTTTCATTTGCGTCTCCACATTTTGTGAAAGTGCATGAGATGACAATTTTCAAAAAGTACAATAGATGACATATGAGGGATATGTGCAAAATATGCAGTTTCATATTTGTTAGTCTCACAGTTATATTTCATTAATAGGTTAAATTTGTTTAATTTTTTGGGCAAAATTCATTCTATCCCTTGTGGTTTGTCCTTGTAACACTTTACCCCTAATGGTTCGAATATATGCATAGAACCTTCTTAAAATTTTGGACTAAAGAGCCACTGTTAAAAGTTCTGTCAAATTTGACTGAAAGTGTAACTTACGCTCCTAATATGTGAGTGTGACAACCCTCACCTCTGATTAGTGTTAACTTATGATTAAGCATGATAAGTAATCGCTTAAGATCAAATCCTAAATTGTTTGTGTAAGTGTGTTGTTTAGAATGCATTTCTATCTGTTTGTTACTGAATGATCTATTCATATTTTAATTTCGAATTGCAAATTGAAAGCCTTATCGGCGACCGATTCAGAAATTGATTAGTGTTATATTCTAATTGGGACTTACATGATTTTATGGTAGGATTAATTAAAATTCAATTTGGAATGATTAAATTGGAAAAAATAATGCTAAATCACATTAACTTGAGTTTATTACATTTTTGCCATTTAGTGGGCCACCTTCAAAAACATTGGTTGAGGCTTGATTTACATGTTTGGTACACCATCTTTTCCATCCTCTAGACCAAACCATGAGAGAGAGAGAGAGAGAGAATTAGAAGAATAATTGAATTCAACAAGAGTTTTGTGTGAACTTAGAAGAAATTGAAGAGGACTTGAGAGATTAGGCTTCTACACTTGAAATTCAAGACTTAAGGTAGGAAATTCATTCTCTTAATTATGAATTTAAGTTGTTTGTTGCTTGGTTCATGGAAAAATTGGTGATTAGAGTCAAGAATTATCTTAAAGTGTTAATTTGAGAATCCATTCATACATGCATGTCCATATTATAGAGTTTTGAAGTTGTTTTGCATGAAATTCTTCCATGCATGTCCAGATCATAGTTGTAATCTAAGAATTCATCATGTTTTTGGGATGAATGGCTCATTTGATCACGTGTTAGAAGCTTTGAATTCAAATAAACACATGCATGGCATATAATTTGCATCATGTTCTTGAATTTTGGGTTGAATTTGTGTTCAATTGACATACTTTTGGGCTTTGATTTTATAAAATGATCTCTAAAACAAGTTGTATTATGGGTTTCTAAGTGTTTTCTAGAAATTGGCCCAAAAGGATGAGTTTTGGTATGTTTGATTCTTGGTTTGAGCTTTCGGAGCAAATCTAGAAAACCCAGATTTTGGCTTCCACGCTTGAACGAAGGATTCCACGCTCGAGCGACCACCTTTTTTCTCAGACTCTCGCTCGAGCGACGGAATGTTGGCTCAAGCGTAGATTGCAAGCTCTCAGGTTTTTGCATGTGCAAACGCACGCTCGAGCGACGAGACCTACGCTCGAGCGAAGAACTGTGTCGAGCGAGCATCGAGCGGAGAATTTCAACAACCAGTACGTTTTGCATTTTTACAGACCGCTCGAGCGAGGGACTTTACGCTCAAGTGACCTCTCTGTTTTGGTAAGCTTGCTCGAGCGGAGAAAGCCACACTCGAGTGAAGACCCCTGTTTTCAACAAATTTGAAAAGTGTTTTAATGTACATTTTTGCATCCTCATTCCGTCCAAGGCATTCCTAGGCCATGTTTAAGGTATTTTAATGAGGATAATGTGATAGAACCACACCAAGTCAAGATAGGGCTAAGTTTTTAATCCCGAATGTGTAATTTAGTATGTGTTCGTTCTGCAACTGTGTAGGGTTGGCACCCGAGGACACTGATTAGCCTGCCTATAGCCCAGTAATCTGTGAGTAACAATGTTGTAAAGATATATTCAATTATAATTATTTTCTAAATGATCGACTATACTGCTTTCCAAAGTGACATTGTTTACTGAATGAATGTTTGTCCTATTTTATGAACTGTACTCGTGGCATTCATAGCAACTTACTCTTACTGTTACTGTTACTGTTACTGCTACTGTTACTGAGATCTCTGTTAGTTCCAATGTTTAGAACCAATACTGTTTACTGTTTCGATGGCCATCACTGACTGTTTGGTCTATTAAGACCTACTGTACTGTTCTGCTAATGAATGTACCACGTATAATCGCTATGATTTCTAAATGACTGATATGCCATGAAATATGAGCCACTGATTGAATAACTGATCTACTGATGCAAGTGACTATTTTAATTACTGAAAGGACATTCATTCTTAACCCCTTTACACAGTTGTTATTCACTGGGTTTTAGCTTACTGTTTATACATGTATGTAGGTGGCCAGGCACCAGACCGAAGCTAGGAGCGTCAAGTTAAGCTCATGTTTTCTCAATTCAACTATTGTGCCTCACTTTGAGGTTCCGAGTCCGTTCAAGCCAAGGCTATTTGGGGTGTTCCAGATTCACCCTTTTGTCTCTGTTATGTAATGAATGTTTAAGACTTTTGACTGTACAGTTATGGTAAAGGGATTAGATCCCTAACCTGTATGTTATGTGTATCCGATATGTATATATGTTTATGGTTATGAATGTGGACTAGTCCATAAAAGTCTTTTGCCTTCCAGATTTTCACAGCTCATTGGACATCTTTTATTTACTGTTTGGCTTCCGCCAGTCCCTTACTCTGTACTATTGTTATTACTGTTAAGCAGGCCTTTGGTAATCACGGATTATTGGCCGGTTACGATGTTAAACCCTTCGAGGCGGGTTTGGGTCCTACATATTAATCCGAATTGCCATAAATCTCAATGACCAAGAATTGGCAATTGACACGATAAGTAACTATAGAATATACAGAATCCCACATAAAGATTTCTTTTTATGAATTGTTCATTTTGCAATAGATTTACTGAAAAATAAGTTTTAAATCCGTTGGATTTTTTTATTGCATCTTTTTTTCTAAAAAAAAGATGAAAATGGGGTTACTAGCAGTGCATCAAAGATGCAGTCATCGGTTCTTCCGAGAGGCCACAATTACTGCGAGCAAACATATTAATGACGAGGAAAGCATTTTTGTTATGCTACTAATACTTGTACTTGACCGAACACACGTGTCCAAATGAGCTATAGGATGTCCTAGAAAAGTAATTAGGGCATTGCATGAGAATAAGAAAGTGTGTGTGGCCATGGTATGAATATATGTGCTAATGTGCTTAAGTAAGCAATTTCCTATGTTTATTATTACCGTATTGCATATAGTGAAATGGAGAATGCAAGAAATGCCGATGAATCTGAATCATCTGAAGCAAGAATGGCAAGGTTGGAAAGAATGGTTAAACTATTGACCGAGGCCCTAAGACAACAACAGAACCAACAGCCCCCACCTCCTCCAGTACAGCCAACACTGAATATCAATGATGATGTAATTGTTTTGACACAGAAGTTCAACAAAATGAAGCCACCAACATTCCAAGGAGGTATTGAGCCATTAAAGGCTGAAGCATGGGTTTTAGAAGCTGAAAAGTTGTTCGAATCCCTGTTTGGAGGCACACAAAGTATTACTGGCTACCTTTGCCTTACAATAAGAGGCTAGAAGGTGGTGGATGCTCATTCGTGATACAAACAATGCTATGACTTGGGCTCAGTTTAAAGAAGCCTTTTATGAGAAATACTTTCCCCAGTGTGTCCGAGACCGCAAGGTAACTGAATTTGAATAGTTGAAGCAGGGCACTATGTCAGTAACAGAGTATGAATCTAAGTTCACTGAACTCGCCCGATATGCACCACACATGGTTGATACTGATTATAAAAAGGCCAGGAAGTTTGAAGGCGGGCTTAATGTAGAGATACTTGATCAAATCAATGTTTTGAAACTACTCAAATATGTGGATGTCCTTGACTGAGCAATTATGGCCGAGGCAAATGTCACTGCATTGCAACAGACTAAGACACCGGTGACCGAATGGCGGGGGTAAGAGGCGAGGCTTCAATTTCAAAAAGGGCCGAAATAACTCATTGAATAAAAAGCAAAACACAGGGTCAACAAGCAGCTCTAGTTAGGGAAACTATTCCATACCACCCTGCTCCGCAAAAGACATAAGGGGGTTTGCTACAAAATTTCCAGGGCATGTTACAGGTGTGGCAAGGTGGGTCACATGGTCAAAAATTGCCCTTCCACGTCTCAAGGCAATAGTAAGGCTGCAGCTAGCGCCGCAGCATCAACTGTTACACCAAAACCCAATCCCAAAGTGTTAATCATGTTATTTAATTTTGATGATATCTAAAATATTATTTGTAACAATTTGTGCATAATGTCTTCCATATTTCAATGTTGAGGGATTATCTTTGAGATCCCTTCCATGTTATTGAGCCTACCCGTTTGGTATTGAGTGATAATTACACTTATGAAGAACGACCTATTCAGATTGTAAACCGACGAATCAAGAAGTTAAGAAATAAAGAAATTCCGTTAGTGAAAGTGGATTGGCAAAACCATGGTGGCATTTATGCCACTTGGGAAAGGGAAGACGATATGTTGAAAAGATATTCTGAATTGTTCCCTCTGGATCCAGTATTCTTCCAAAATGAAGGTAATTCGAGTTTGGAGGACCAAACTCTTTTTAAGGAGGGAAGACTGTGGCAACCCTCACATCTGATTCGCGTTAACTTATGATTAAGCATGATAAGTAATCGCTTAAGATCAAATCCTAAATTGTTTGTGTAAGTGTGTTGTTTAGAATGCATTTCTATCTGTTTGTTACTGAATGATCTATTCATATTTTAATTTCGAATTGCAAATTGAAAGCCTTATCGGCGACCGATTCAGAAATTGATTAGTGTTATATTCTAATTGGGACTTACATGATTTTATGGTAGGATTAATTAAAATTCAATTTGGAATGATTAAATTAGAAAAAATAATGCTAAATCACATTAACTTGAGTTTATTACATTTTTGTCATTTAGTGGGCCACCTTCAAAAACATTGGTTAAGGCTTGATTTACATGTTTGGTACATCATCTTTTCCATCCTCTAGACCAAACTGTGTGAGAGAGAGAGAGAGAGAGTTGGAAGAAGAATTGAATTCAACAAGAGTTTTGTGTGAACTTAGAAGAAATTGAAGAGGACTTGAGAGATTAGGCTTCTACACTTGGAATTCAAGACTTAAGGTAGGAAATTCATTCTCTTAATTATGAATTTAAGTTGTTTGTTGCTTGGTTCATGGAAAAATTGGTGATTAGAGTCAAGAATTATCTTAAAGTGTTAATTTGAGAATCCATTCATACATGCATGTCCATATTATAGAGTTTTGAAGTTGTTTTGCATGAAATTCTTCCATGCATGTCCAGATCATAGTTGTAATCTAAGAATTCATCATGTTTTTGGGATGAATGGCTCATTTGATCACGTGTTAGAAGCTTTGAATTCAAATAAACACATGCATGGCATATAATTTGCATCATGTTCTTGAATTTTGGGTTGAATTTGTGTTCAATTGACATACTTTTGAGCTTTGATTTTATAAAATAATCTCTAAAACAAGTTGTATTATGGGTTTCTAAGTGTTTTCTAGAAATTGGCCCAAAAGGATGAGTTTTGGTATGTTTGATTCTTGGTTTGAGCTTTCGGAGCAAATCTGGAAAACCCAGATTTTGGCTTCCACGCTTGAACGAAGGATTCCACGCTCGAGCGACCACCTTTGTTCTCAGACTCTCGCTCGAACGACGGAATGTTGGCTCGAGCGTAGATTGCAAGCTCTCAGGTTTTTGCATGTGCAAACGCACGCTCGGGCGACGAGACCTACGCTCGAGTGAAGAACTGTGTCGAGCGAGCATCGAGCGGAGAATTTCAACAACCAGTACGTTTTGCATTTTACAGACCGCTCGAGCGAGGGACTCTACGCTCAAGTGACCTCTCTGTTTTGGTAAGCTTGCTCGAGCGGAGAAAGCCACACTCCAGTGAAGACCCCTGTTTTCAACAAATTTGAAAAGTGTTTTAATGTACATTTTTGCATCCTCATTCCGTCCTAGGCATTCCTAGGCCATGTTTAAGGTATCTTAATGAGGATAATGTGATAGAACCACACCAAGTCAAGATAGGGCTAAGTTATTAATCCATAATGTGTAATTTAGTATGTGTTCGTTCTGCAACTGTGTAGGGTTGGCACCCGAGGACACTTATTAGCCTGCCTATAGCCCAGTAATCTACGAGTAACAATGTTGTAAAGATATATTCAATTATAATTATTTTCTAAATGATCGACTACACTGCTTTCCGAAGTGACATTGTTTACTGAATGAATGTTTGTCCTATTTTATGAACTGTACTCGTGGCATTCATAGCAACTTACTCTTGCTGTTACTGTTACTGCTACTGTTACAGAGATCTCTATTAGTTCCAATGTTTAGAACCAATACTGTTTACTGTTTCGATGGCCATCACTGACTGTTTGGTCTATTAAGACCTACTGTACTGTTCTGCTAATGGATGTACCACGTATAATCGCTATGGTTTCTGAATGACTAATATGGCATGAAATATGAGCCACTGATTGAATAATTGATCTACTGATGCAAGTGACTATTTTAATTACTGAAAGGACATTCATTCTTAACCCCTTTACACAGTTGTTATTCACTGGGTTTTAGCTTACTGTTTATACATGTATGTAGGTGGCCAGGCACCAGACCGAAGCTAGGAGCGTCAAGTTAAGCTCATGTTTTCTCAATTCAACTATTGTGCCTCACTTTGAGGTTCCGAGTCCGTTCAAGCCAAGGCTATTTGGGGTGTTCCAGATTCACCCTTTTGTCTCTGTTATGTAATGAATGTTTAAGACTTTTGACTGTACAGTTATGGTAAAGGGATTAGATCCCTAACCTGTATGTTATGTGTATCCGATATGTATATATGTTTATGGTTATGAATGTGGACTAGTCCATAAAAGTCTTTTGCCTTCCAGATTTTTACAGCTCATTGGACATCTTTTATTTACTGTTTGGCTTCCGCCAGCCCCTTACTCTGTACTATTGTTATTACTGTTAAGCAGGCCTTTGGTAATCACGAATTACTGGCCGGTTACGATGCTAAACCCTTAGAGGTGGGTTTTGGTCGTGACAGAGTGGTATCAGAGCACGAGTTATACCGAACACACGTGTCCAAATGAGCTATAGGATGTCCTAGAAAAGTAATTAGGGCATTGCATGAGAATAAGAAAGTGTGTGTGGTCATGGTATGAATATATGTGCTAATGTGCTAATGTGCTTAAGTAAGCAATTTCCTATGTTTATTATTACCGTATTGCATATAGTAAAATGGAGAATGCAAGAAATGAAGATGAATCTGAATCATCTGAAGCAAGAATGGCAAGGTTGGAAAGAATGGTTGAACTATTGACCAAGGCCCTAAGACAACAACAGAACCAACAGCCCCCACCTCCTCCAGTACAGCCAACACTGAATATCAATGATGATGTAATTGTTTTGACACAGAAGTTCAACAAAATGAAGCCACCAACATTCCAAGGAGGTATTGAGCCATTAAAGGCTGAAGCATGGGTTTTAGAAGCTGAAAAGTTGTTCGAATCCCTGTTTGGAGGCACACAAAGTATTACTGGCTACCTTTGCCTTACAATAA